AAGTTGCCGTGACAAAACTCAGGCAGAGCCTCTGGCAGACGTGATGCAGGACACATTTCCCAGCCTCCCGAGGGCTTCTCCCATTGGCTCCTCGGGTTGTCTAATGTCCCAGGGACTGTGGGACTGCAGCTCAGGCCTTGTCGGACCCCAGCCACGTGAGCCTCTTGGTTCCTCGGCTTCCAGGCTTTTCTAGCTGATAGACATTGAAGTGCCAGTGCTTTTGTGAAAGATAATGGAGATGCTTTTAAATACAGATAAGAACAACTAATGTCTTAATTAAAAGTGGAGATAAGGGCTGGAATTTCAGGTTATCCTCTGCTGGGTAAAAGTGAGAGCTCTCTTGTACATGGAGCCGTTTAGGTCATTTTCAGGCATATCCAGTAGGTAGCTGAGTGTTCTTCTTGCCCATGGGGGTAGCTCTACCCCTAAAAACAGATGGAGTCTCCCCTTCTCATGTTCCCTTGGCACCAGTCTTTTTTTTTTTTTCTTTTAACGATATAATATGGATAGATAAGTACATCCAAAACCGAAAGCAAACCTGCTGCTGTCGAGTGGATTCTGACTCATAGTGACCCTACAGGACAGAGTAAAACTGTCCCCATAGGGTTTCCAAGGCTGTAATCTTTACGGGAGCAAACTGCCACATCTTTCCTCTCTGAGCGGCTGGTGAGTTCCAGTTGCTGACCTTTCAGTGCTTAACCACTGTGCCACCAGGGCTCCTATAGATACGTGCATACATACATGGAAATTTAAGCAGCATAAAAGGTTTATGTGTATTTGTGTGTATGTGTATATACAATAGTGATTGTGAGGATGGCACAGGACTGGACAGTGTTTCACTCTGTTGTACATAGGGTTGCTGTGAGTCGGAACTGACTTGACACCTAACAACAACAACAACAACAAAACATACGTATACATTTGATCAATTTCAGACTGCAGAAGTTGGTAAAAATCTTCAGTTTCTTCATCTTTGGCCTTAGTGGCTGGTGCTTAAATTTGAATAATAGTCGTATTAACTGGTCTGCCTTGTAGGCATATGGATATTGCCCTATCACTGACTACACTGTACTTCAGGATAGATCTTAAAATGTTCTTTTTGACGATGAATGCAATGCCATTCCTCTTCAAGGTGTCATTCCTGGCATAGTAGACTGTATGATCATCCGATTCAAAATGGCCAATACCAGTCCATTTCAGCCTACTAATACCTAGGATATCAGTGTTTATACATTCAATATCATCTTTGATGATTTCTAATTTTCCTAGATTCATACTTTGTACATTCCATGTTCTGATTATTAATGGATGCTTGCAGCTGTTTCTTCTCATTTTGAGTCATGCCACATCAGCAAGTGAAGGTCCCAAAAGCTTGACTCCATCCACTTCATTAAGGTCGACTCTGAGGAGGCAGCTCTTCCCCAGTCATATTTTGAGTGCCTTCCAACCTGAGAGACTCATTTTCCAGCACTATATCAGACAGTGTCCCACTGCTATTCATAAGGTTTTCACTGGCTAATTCCTTTCAGAAGTAGATGGAAAGATGCAGTCAGGATACATTGATAATTACTGGT